GTCCCTTTTAATTTTTCAATTACACAAACATGAAGTTTATAGTGAGATTGTAGTTTGTAAGCTCACTACAGTTAGTCTCTGAGTGATGGCATACATCGCATCACTTCACACCTTCATATTGCAGAACTTGTTATTTAGCTATTAAATCCAAAATGCTTCTAAGTTCTTGCCAGCATTCAAGATGGCCTTAGGACACAGTTTTGCATTTGAAATACGCCTATGAAACGCTGAGAAGCACATAGGGTTATTAACAAAGTCGGAAACCAGAATCAAAGTTTGGGAATAACCTGCAAGGGACAAAGGAACAAGGAAAGTATATTTAGTGTCCTACACTGTCGCCACATCAGGAGGGGATCTCTTAATGGTGAGTATGAAGAGGAGGGACCCGTTCGTTGTGCACAAGGCATGCGAGCAGTGTATAAAGACCTGAGCCAATCCCTTTAAAACGCATGTAAATGCACCGCAGGCAAACAGCACGAGAGACAGGGTGAGGAGGAGTGGGGGGTGAGTCTGGTACGAAAGCGCAGATTTGTAGCGTTGAGTGAGGAATGCTTTGACGCTGTAACAATCCCCCCCAGCCCCCCCCACCACCTCCCCCCTTCTCTCCCTCACCACTCCTCTCCTCCGCCAATCTCGCACCTGATGTGTGGGGGCTGCTGGGAGTCGCATGCCAAGATGAATAACAACCGGCTGTTAGTCACGATAGAGCACGAACACACACGCCGCCGCCTGTCTCTCTCCCTCTCCTCCTCCCGCTCCCTCTCTCTCCGTCGTCTTCTTTCTCACCTTCCCTCTGTCTTTCTCCCTCTGACACACACAAACAGCATTTTCTCTGTGATTTACGAACACATTGAGATTCCATTTCACTCCTCTGTCTCTCTGTGTGTCTCTGCCGACTCACCACAGTGCAACATTGACATTTGGGTTGAAGGTCATACCACACATTCCAGTCTTCCACATTGTGCTCATGACCCGTTATCAACGTGGTTGGTGACACTGAGTAGATTGTAGTGTTTGTGCGTGCGTGTGTGTGTGTGTGTGTTTATGTGTGTGTATATGTGTGTATGTGTGTATATGTGTGTATGTGTGTGTATGTGTGTGTGTGTATATGTGTGTATGTGTGTGCGCGCGCGTGTGTGTGTGTGTGTGTATGTGTATGTGTATGTGTGTGTATGTGTGTGTGAACTGAGACCACAGTGTTTTTTTTCTTTCTGGTTCGATACCAGCTTTGGCTCATATCCGCAGATACTGCCAATGTTTGTAGATTGAGACAAATCTGTGGGGAATGCTATTGATTGTGGTGTTTATTGAAATGCAACTGTTAGACAATGCAGTTCAATTGTCAAAAAAAACTAAAACATTTATTCTTCATAAGATTCCCCTAAAAGCTCCATTTGTAACATATATAAAGAAAGAAAGTCGTAGTTATTTGTTATTTCAATATTTAAATAAGGGGATTTTGTTATCAGACCCAGCATTATTTATCGTGTAGATCAGTGCTTCTCAAACTTTTTTCAGTAATGTACCCCCTTTGAAACATTTTCTCAGCGAAGCACCCCCTGACCGACCCCGGACATTTTTGATAGAAAAAGCCTATATAAATAATTACAATATAGTAATGTTCTAAGGATATTTTCATCTTTATACATGAAAAAGAAGAATATAACGAAAACAAATTAAAACAGATTTGTCCAAGGAGTTTTTCAATTGAAGTAATATTTAACAAACCAATGAACAAAACGATATATTATGAAAAACTATAAACTACAATACACAAATTTGACATGTTTATATGAGGACCCCCTTAGTGGTTCTAGGAATATTTTATATAACTTATTGTACTAAGATTATTTTTGTAATCATGCATGGTATTTTTTTAATTAACCTTTTTATTTATTTTTATCTCACGTACCCCCTGCAGTACCCCAACGTACCCCTAGGGGTTCGCGTACCCCCATTTGAGAATCACTGGTGTAGATGATTCATAAACACTTGTGACAGATGGTACCGTTCAATTTGGAAAGTTAAATAGTCTAATTATAAACTCTGGAGCGAGGAACTGATAAAACCAGATTACACACAGAACACTAAGAATTATTAAAACTTTATTTTTTACATAATGTTTATGAAATTAAGATGCATTCGAAATATTTTAAAGGCTACAATTAACAGTGATTTTATTCATTAATAACCTGATTTGCAATTAATATCTCAATCTCTAAACTGTCAAAAAGAAATAGTGCTTGACCAACAGCACAAAACCAAAACATTTAGTTTCCGATCACATAAAACTAGCTTCAGAACCTAAAGGCACGGACACACCAAGCCGATTTTGGCCGTCGGTGGGCGTCAGGCCGACGATGAGCGTCGACACGCCCTACTCAGATTGGTGTGTCCTGCACCGTAGTGTCTTTTCAGCCGTGCCGACGCCTTTTTCGGCCGAAAACCCGCCGTCGGCCAAAGGCAGTCGGCAAAATAAATCACTCTGATTGGCTGTTCAGCTAGCGAATCAGTGCATGAGAAGCGAAACCGAAGTGAGGGACCCAAACAAACTATTAAGAAGGCAAATCTGAGATTTCATTTAACTCCAGCTCTCGACACAGGTTCGGGAAAGCCCCATGAGCTTCTCGCTGTAGAGTGAAAATGGAACACACGCTATTTGTTGTTTGTTTATATCACGCAATCTGTTCGTCTTCTCTCGGTTATCACACAGTCTGTCTTCCGGTTGTTGCCTCTTTTGAATGACGAATACGCACTACCGCCGCCTGCTGGTAAGGAGAGTTATTGCCACTCACGCATGCACAGTTCGTACGTGCTTCTTGGCTGTCGGCTGAAGTCTTTGCGGTGTGTTCCAGTGCGACACATGGCCAAAACGCAGAGACGCGAGGCGACGCAACAGTCGGGGTCCGTCTGTGTAAGTTATTTGGTGTCAGCTTGGTGTGTCCGGGCCTTAAGGGTCGCCGGTTCAAGTCCCCAAAGAACCAAATACAGCGTGTGGACTGGTGCCTGGAGAGGGGCCAGTCTGCCTCCTGGTGAGGTGCCAGATCCCCACACTGATCCCCTGGAGCTGAATATATAATAGCTGCCCACTGCTCCTAATACTAAGATGTGTAAAATGCAGAGACTTAATTCCCCTGTGTTTGCTGTGTCCCATTAACAAGTTGATTACATTCTAGGCTTGTCAATAAGCACTTGAATTGCTGCTGACAATGGATAGCAAATGTAAGCAGGGTATCACACTAAACTAGGATGGAAATAAGGTAAACATCAACATATTATAATTGTCATTGTGAGCATATTGACATTCTGACATTGATATTTAAAGAGGCCATATTATGCTTTTTGGGGTTTTCCCTTTCCTGTAGAGTGTTATAGGTTTTTGTACGTCTCCATTGGACTATTGCCTTGGAACATAGTGACATCACTACATAACACTCGCGCTTCTATTGGCTAGCGCTCAAACATTGTAGGTGATATGATAAGGGGAGGAACTTTTTAGACACATCTCTAAGCGGTTGGCCAATCGCAACAGAGCCAGCTAGCTAACCAATCAGAGCAGACTGGGCTCTTGTTTCCGACAGAGGGTGAAAAGAGGCAGCATGAGAAAAATAAAGACCTTTTTTTAACATTAACCTGTTAAGCACCAAGCCTGTTTTTCATGTTTCAGGCTCGAAAATGACATGCCCAAAACAAATGACTACAACTTAACTTCTAAAAGGGTTATATGAATAATTTCTTTTATCAAAGCAAGGTTACATCTGTGAGTTGGATGTAGAAGTGTCAGAATCAATATAGATGTTTTTTATTTTAAAGAAAATTCAGATTTTACATAGTAAAAAACTGTAAATTATAGTGTCCGTCCAAATATTCTTTTTTACTTATAGTGAAAACTACCCTTGGATGATGGGTTAGTAGACTAAAAGCTTTAGGAATCCAAAGTACAACATATAATAAGTACCCTGTATGAAGATTGACGCAAAACAAGTGATATTTGACCTTTTTAGAGAGGTTTAGCCAAAACCACCCCACCTCTAAGGTGATTTGGGTGAAAATGTTTTTTTTTCCATATCTCTGGCCCCCCTTGGTCGATTTGGATGGTTGACACCTCTTTCTGACCGTTAGAGCCAATAGAATCGAAGGGGGAGGCCCCCACACACACTTCCCGCATGCAGGTTTGCACCAGAGTGAAGCGATCTCTCGCTCTGACATTTGGAAACGAAAAAGCAGTTTTATTGCTTATGGATTATCAGAAATCATTTCAAAGAGGACACAGACACATTGGATTAACCTATGGATTAACTGCAGCATCGTTTTTTTATCGTTTTAATGCCATTGAAGACCAGTTTTGACCAAGGTAAGCCATGTTAGCGTTTCTAGCTACCTAGCTCCACATGTTCTGATGTACGCTTTCGTTTATAGCGTCGCAAATGTTTATCACAGAGTGTTGAGGTTTTTTACACAGATTCTGTGTCTCCAGGAGATGCTAATGCATGTGCATCTAGGATAAGTAATAAGGGAGTTATGAGTGAGTTTAGCTGCAGTGATAGGTTACATTCTTTCGCTCGTGGCTAATTCAGAGGCTGAGTGTTAGCATTGTGGGGGTTTTTTGGAGAAAAAAAAATTAAAAAGATCAGTTAGCTGAGTTTCTTCCCGTTACATGGATATAAAACATTCATAGTTTATTAAATATTAAGATTCCTTAGACGTTGTTTCCTGCAAATGACGCGTTTATCCGCCCGGTACCGGGGGGGGGGGCGGTGCGTAACAGGTTAAAGCATGTAAACACGTCACAGTAGAGGAACAAAATACAGATATGAACCTGAAAATGAGCATGAATACAGCATCACAGAGCCACCTGGCTAAACACTCTTCTGTTCTTAAGGGAAAATGACTTGGGGATGTATTCAGACATGATCAATTTGTTAAATTCCTGACAAATGTATGGAGTGATGTGCATGTCCTAACAGGGCTATAGATGTATGTGTGTGCAGCTGCTGTACCTGCATGCCAGTAGGACTCAGTAGGCTCCACCAATCCCTGTCCAGGCCGAAGACAAAGGCGTTGGCCAAGCCGTGGAGTGGTGCTGACAGGACGTGCAACAGGGTGAGCGAGAAGGATGGATCCTTTGGGTAGAAGGCATTATGGAGTCTGTAGGAGGAGAGAGCGAAACAGAGGGAGTATTGAGTTCATCCATTTCAAAGTTGTAAATAAAGAGACAACCTGCGAGAGAGCTTCAGCGGTGAGGTTGAAGTAATCGAAAGAGAAGTCAGAAGGAGTAGAGAGGCAGCAACAGGAGAAAGAAGGGTAAAGACAGAGAGCGAGAGGTTGATAGACAGAGCCACAGCAAAGGGGAGAGAGGACAATTGAGTGACAGACTGAGGGACAGGGTGAGAAGAAGAGGTAATGAGAGCAGGCGGCAGAGGCAGAGAAAGAGAGGGGGAGAGAAAGAAAAAAGGGTAGGGCGAAAGAGCGAGTGAGCTTTATATCAGCGTTTAAGAGCCCATTAGGCAGCGTGAGACGGCTGGGCTGACACATTCTTGGCTGCCGCCTCGACAGCACACAGCACTTTACAAGGACAGGGAGAAGAGTAGCGCTCAACTCCTTTCTTTTTCTCTCATCTCAGTTTCCTGCTTCTCCTGACCACAAATTCACCATCCCATTTTCTCCTTTTTTTTCATTCCACACACGTTTTCTACAAACGGCCCTTCCCCCCCCCCTTCTACGCTGTCTCTCCCATTTATTTGCATTCGGTTCCATCTGTCTGGATATCTCATTTTCATCTTGACTCATGAGGGCGATCCTCGAATCTTTTCTTTTCAATTCCCCTCGCTGTGCCCATCTCCCCGGGAGCCTGGGGCATCACTGGAAGGAGAACCTGATATTGTGTGGTGTGGCTGCAAACTAATGGCTGCCTCCGAGAACGATGCTGCTTAGCCATTAACCCTGGATTAACCCTGTATTAGCACTGCTCGTTGGGTTAGCCCGCCGCTAATGTCTTTTATTGATCTATTAGCGAGAGAATCAAACCGCACACAGCTCATAGCGTTTTCCCCCTGTGGTCCTGGGTGGGGTGTGTAGACTGAACTAAGTGGCCGTGGTGGTTGACCTCGGGGTCCTGAAAGTCTTCCCTGAGCACCTTGTGCCCCGAAGGGAAGGGAGATACAAAACCAACCATTTGAGGAAGAGAACCACTGTTGTGGTTACAAGGAGTTACGTGAGACACCACAGTCACTCATCTCCTTGTGACTGACAGTCAGAGGAGGAAACACATCTTCAGTCTAAAATGAGAATGGTTTTGTTTTACTCTTAACACCAAAACTGTTATATTTCAAACTATTCTTCCAATTAAAAATGTTACAACAGTGTTGCCAATAGTGTGACAGCATTGAAACAAACACATTGATACCAGTCAAGATACAACACATCTGGCAGAGCTATGACTTTAAAGTTAAAAGAATGAACAATACAATTTTGATGGAAACTATTCCAACATTGTGACAGTCTATTCCATCAACCAAACACAATATTTCTAACAATAATGTCAGCAACAAAACAACATTAGTATGCAATAATAATGTAAGATTTTTTCTGTTCCATGTTTGACGGTTAGCTAAATTGTCCATATTTTTTTCAAAGCATAAATCAAGCATTTAAAATATGCACAATAAATTCACTCAATACGTACACTACGGCATTCAAGGTGCAGACGCTAGGAATAATAGAGTATTACTTTGATGATTGTTTCAAGGCAGTTTCCAGTTGTGTCGCCATGACTATATTAAGAAAACCGCTAACACCAACCCCCAAGGAAGATTGCTGGTCCTGAGGCCCTTTTTTAACAACTTCCGTTTCAGTCGTGTGATACACAAAAGTACATTTTCCAATTGAATCACAATGGGAAAGAGACATCTGTAAATCAGCAAAAAAAGCAAATGCGATATTTTCCCTTCTCCAATCATGTGAATAAGCCGAGACGAGAAGCTAGGAGGCGGGTTTAGGTGAAACACTGGGGCAAGTACTTCATAGGCTAATAAATGCAGAGGATCAAAGGATGATACAGGTAATGATATCACTTAGTAATTGAGCCATTCAGCTTCATTCAACTCCTGAGCAACTTTCATATGGAATGAAAAGCAGCCGGCCTCCTACTCTGCGTCCAGTTCTATTTATACATCCATGGCCTACACTGAGCATTGGTGCCAAAAGTGAGTCGAGTCGAACCATGCACTAGAAATAAGGCATGAGGAAGCACATCATTAGGATCCATTTGACAGCCTTTAAAAACCCAGTGAGAACTGCAGGTGAACAGCGCAGAAGATGATTATGGAGATTCTTCCTCAAATCTGGTTATAATCCTCTCTTATCCTCTTTTACAGCACAAGGTTTCAAGGTTTATTGGCCACTAATCTTTCTCCATTTACCCTCCAACTAGCTCTTGAAAAGTTGTGACAGGGGAAGAAAGTTGGGTTGGCTGAAAGTTGCAGGCCAATCCATAATGAGAACCTACCTGCTTTAAGTCATTTGGGGTAATGGTGTCAACTAAATGCCTAAATGTGGCATAAAATAAAACAAACAGTGCAGCTTGTGGAGACCAAAGTGGCGTGTCCTGGCACTTGTCGGAGTAAGGACCATTTCGGAGCGACGCTGCCTATTTTCTGGGTTAGCCTACTGCTGTATCTCCGAGGACCAGACCAGCTGCTGCTCACATTCATTTCACTTCCCATTAAAGGTGAAATAAATCAGGAGTCCCCACACAACCTCCTTAGAGACACAGGAAACACACACACACACACACACAAACATGCACACGGAGGAAGTCGGACACATGTGGACATGCAAAAACACACACATGCACATCATGGTCTGTGCGTAGGTGGGTACACACAGTATAACGTAGGTCATGTGCATTGAGGATGTCAGGTGGAGAGGAAATGCTGTGGATGTGCGTTTGTGTGTGTGTGCGTCTGCCATTGTGTGTGTGTGTGTCTGTGCGTGTGTGTTTCTCTGACAGCGCAGCGGTGAGAGTGAGTGGGTCTGTGTGAAGGGGGGCTATTTCTGGCGTCTCATTTTTTTTTCCTGCTGCCGCAAAGAAATGCGATCGGCGTCCGGGAAACGAGAGCTGGCAGCAAGCAATCATCTGCCTGCCACACACACACACACACACACACACACACAGCACCTCGCAGCGCCGAGCAACACGCGCCATGGCAACGGAACAGCCGCAATTAGAGCCGAAGAGCCTTTCCCCTCCATCGAGGGAGAGCGAAATGAAAGGAGGAAAGAAAGAGCAGGCGAGAGAGAGAGAGAGAGAGAGAGAGACAGGAAGAGGGGAGGGGAGGGAGGCAGGGGGGAGACGAGTGTCAAAGAAACGGCACCGCACAGGAAGGAGAGAGGGAGAGGAAAGGAGAACACGATAAAGAGGTGAGAATGTGCAAGAGGGAGGCTGCGAAGGGAAACGAGGGCCGAGAGCAATGGAGGAGGAGGAGGAGGAGGAGGAGGAGGAGGAGGAAGGGCTAAAGGAGTGAGACTGAAAGGAAAATACTAAAAAGCAGAGGAGGTAAAGAGCTAGGTAGAGGAGGGGGAAGAGATATCCAAAAAGACAGATTGCAAGACATGAGCGAGACAAACAAAAGAGATTACGTGCGAGAGAAACCACGATAAGACGAGGGGGAGAAAAAGAGGCGAGGAGGTTAGATAGAGAGAGACGGGTGGAGGCGTGTGGAGAAGGAGGAGGGGGGGGGGGGGGGGGGGGGGGGGGGGGTGGGCTGCTTCTCCTGTGTGAGCCGGGCTAATGAAAGATGAATGAGGGAGGCAGTGGTGGGAAGGAGAGTGTGGCTGCGGGCGATGCCTGGCTGAGCTGCTGAGCTGCTGGGTGTGTGTGTGTGTGTGTGTGTGTGTGTGTGTGTGTGTGTGTGTGTGTGTGTGTGTGTGTGTGTGTGTGTGTGTGCGGCGCAGTCGAGTGAGTCTCACAATTGGCTGACTGGTGTTGGACAACAGGGATGATATTGTGTGTACTGTATGACTCGGGAGCAAGCGGTCAACAACAATAAACACACTCGCACGCTCACACCCACGCACACAGCAGCAGCAGGCGCATGTAGCTTTCAGTGGAAGCCTGTTGCCACCTGTACGCATGAAGTCAATCATTAGTAACCGCACGGCGTCTCCGAGCCTTGCTCACTTATTCAGACCTTCCATCTATCATGCTGTCAGTCACTCTTTGAACCCGTCTCTCTCCCTCACCCTCCAGATTCGCTGCAAAATCCCTCATCTGCTGCCTCTCCCTATCTCTTCCAATATCCCACCCTGCCAGTCTATACCACTTTCCAGGCATCAATTTCTCTCCATCAGAGTTCACCTTTTTTGTCTGCATCTAATTGTTGTGGCGAACATCCTCGGAGCTGTGGGAAAGGCGTACTGTAACGGCTTGGATGAGAACTCCCTCCAGAGAGTGGAGGGCGGCCAGACAGAGAAGTCATCCTGACCCCGACTGCACTTCTTCTTCTTCTTCTCTTCGACGGACTGACTGCTTTTTTTTCGTTCTTCCTCCAGACGAATCACATGCTTCGCAGTGCCAAAACAAGTCCCTAGTGCAGCTGCTGACAGCAGATCTGAACTTTTATCTGACTAAAAGGGATAATTCTGCCAAAACGAGCTTAATCCTTCGACACGGGGGCAAGGTCAGAATGTGATCCAATGTGATTTTCATGAAACACTCTTAAAGTTTGACTACATCCAGATATGACAATAAAGGCATGAATACATAATCAAACTGAACATTTGATTTCAACCTTCATTTCTGAGGATAATACAATTTGTGTGCACTATTTAGGGATTTATAGATGATACTTCAAGGTTCAAGGTTCTTTATTGTCAAACTAACAATAAAGAACCTTGAACATTGAAAATCTTAGGTCACAGGCTTCTCCAACAATGCAACATAATAATATAGATAGTAAAAGTAATTATTATGTTGCATTGTTGGAGAAGCCTGTGACCTATTCAACGACATCATTTCTACATAAACTATGACCACCTGTGGTGATACTTACTGTAGAGTGTACTACCTGCAGAGTGCTTTAAACTCAAGAGACCATTTTAATGCACTATTTAATTAAATGTAGGTCCAATTAATGACAAAATAACCA